TCGGGCTCTGTGCTGACTGCCAGCTCAGATCCTGGAGCCTGTTTCAGAGTCTGTGACTCCCTCTCTCTCTGACCCTCCCCTGCTCACACTGTCTCTCTCTCTCTCCTAGAAATAAANCGCTTAGGTCATGATCTTGTGGTTCGTGGGTTCGAGCCCCGCGTCGGGCTCTGTGCTGACTGCCAGCTCAGAGCCTGGAGCCTATTTCAGAGTCTGTGGAGCCTATTTCAGAGTCTGTGTCTCCCTCTCTCTCTGACCCTCCCTCGCTCGCGCTCTCTCTCCGAGAAATATATAAAAAAAAAAAAAAAGAAAACTTTAAAAAAAACGATTTTACTGAGAACACTTTTTTAAAGTTTAATTTTGAGACACAGCACGAGTGGGGGAGGGTCAGAGAGACATTGAATCTGAAGCAGGCTCAAGACTCTGAGTTGTCAGCACAGAGCCCCATGTGGGGCTAGAACCCACAAGCTATGAGATGATGACCTGAGCTGAAGTCAGATGCCTAACCAACTGTGCCACCCAGCTGCCCCTCTTTGAGAAAACTTTAAGAATGTTCCTAGACTAATTTCATCTTTGAGGAACTATGGAACATTTAGAATGTGCCATAAACTACTGGTTGTCAGGAAAATGGAAGTAGTTGTGGAATTTATAAACTAGTTTAAGGAACTAGGCTGTGAAGGTCATAATATGGATTAAACAAAAGCAGAGTACCCATAGGATATTTTAAAATATTTATCTTTCCTAAGCATGTGATTTATATGTGAATAGTTTATATATGCTTCTTTTAACCATACAGTTGTATATACTGCTTTTTGACCTAAACATTTAATTGTAATTCCCACATTATTTAAAGTAGTTGCCAGGTAATTCTCTTCCTGTAAGGGTGGGTTTTTTTTGTTGAATCTCTAGACCCAGTGAGGGGCTCAGGCTCAACCCTGGGATCAAGAGTCACATGTTTTCCCAGACAAGCCAGCCAGGCACCCCTAAAGTAATGTGAAGATTATTCTAAAGACTGCAGTTGCTGGTATAAGAATACTGAGTTGTTAGAAATTAAAAATCTTGTACCAAAAGGCATGTGGACTGTAACAAGCTGTAGATATTTATAAGGTTAAAAACAGCAAAAGTTAACCTGTTTTTTCTGCACCTTGCTTTTAAACTTGAAATCTGATGTGTGTCTTTAAGACTATAGCATTTGGTTCTGATATTTAAGCTAGTCAGAGAAGTTCACTTATTTTTTTAAAAAACTAGGAGAGGTTGACTGTCCAGTGAGGAAAAATTACTCGAGTATAAACCTTTATGACCCATGATGTAGTCTCAAATATATTCATTTAGAGCTGTTCCATTTCTGTTAGTCTTTAATTCATTAGGAAGAAAAATCTCTAATTACTAAAGTCGATAAAATAGAACTCTGCCAACAAGATTTACACTTTGGAATGACATGTGACAATTCAGAAGTAAGTAAAAAACATTTTAGGAAATAAAATGTAAATTTTATACCCAGCAAAACTGAGTTACACGTATAGAGGCACAGTCCCGCTGTTATTACCATGTAAGAACTGGGAAACTATTCTAATGAATTCTGAGTAATAGATTAGACATAAACCTGAGATACCATAATTTTAAGACCTTAGAATTTAAGCATTAATGTCACTAAAATCCAGTGTCGTGTGTGTGTTGTGTGTGTTACTGTACTAAGAGTATGAAATCACAGGAAATCCATAGTGGGGAAACTTCAGGTTGAATACCCTGGGTTCTTCAAAGAATAAGTTTTAAGTTAAAGGGATGGGAGGGGAACTTAACCTAAAAGAGGCCATAAAAGACACATCAAGTTTGCTTTAATGAGTAAGAATATCCAGGGATATACACTAAGGGGATATAATTATTTTAAACAGAAAATGGTTAGCCACACCTCGGTGGCTAAGTCCCTTGAAAATCTGACTTTTGATCTCAGTTCAGGTTGTGAGTTTAAGCCCTGATTAGGGCTCTGTGCTGGGCTTGAAGCCTAGTTTAAAAAAAAAGTGGTAGTTAACTTTTGGAGGTTGGAAAGCGACTGAGAATGGAATGGGACAAATGGGGCTTCTTAGTTTTGAGATTTAATAGAGGCTCTGCAACCTTGATATTTTTACAATAGTACATTGTACTCACGCATGCTTTTCTTAGAATCGGTTCTCTTGGCTTTCAAGTAAATGGATATTTGGGGATTCTTCAATTTCTAAGTCTTTGTATTTCCCCCATGTGGGCTGTTGCATGGGGTATTGGCTTCCTGACCAGCCTGGCATTTTATCATTTTCACTGGGGTACCTTGACACTCAAGCTTAGTATCTAGTTGTTTTTATCTGGGGATTCAGAAAGATCAAAAATTACGCTGTTTGTGCTTTTTTCTGAGAATCTCCGTTTTCCCACCAGTAGTTTCTTTGCATTTAGGATATTGGCCATTACTCACACCCCCACCTCCCAACATGGATTTAATGGGTAAGGTACCTTGATCAGAGGTGAAATGTGAACTGAGATCATTTGGCTGTTTGTAAAATTTTGGGAAGTCTGTTCCCACTTCAATAAAATTTTATTTTCCTTTTTAATGTTTGCTGCTAGAAACTGAGAGAGATGGAGCATGAGTGGGAGAGAGGCAGGTAGGAGACAGAATCTGAAACAGGCTCCAGGCTCTGAGCTGTCAACACAGAGCCCTACACAGGGCTCAAACCCAACGAGTCAGATGCTTAACTGACTTAGCTACCCAGGGGCCCCTTCAATAAAATTTTAAAGGGCGGTATCATTAGAGTGTAAACTCTGAGGATTCTTACTTGTTCCTGTTTTTCCTCTTTAAGTACCTAATACTTCTCAGATACTCAATGTTTAGTGAAAAACTATTAATTTGTAGTAATACTTCTTTTTGGAAGATGTGTTCCTTGAATCAGGATTAATGGCTCTTTGTGGGTCTACTTGTCTTTATTATTGCTCATATCTTGATTAAAACCTTAGAGTGAGTATAGGCATTGAAAGCTATTCCATTGACTTTAGCCAAGTCTATGAGGTTGAGGTCATAACATTGTTTTCTGCTAACAATTCATGATTCTGGTAGCAAATTTAGAAACCACAGATAATCACAATAAAAGATAAAATCATATCCTTAAATTCAGAGGTGGCACCCAAAGATACCACCTTATTTGTGTATCTGGATGTTTTTCACCTGCCTTTCCAAATGGAGTTCCTTAAGAGAATTAATCCCTAATGCCCAGTGGCATTGTTTATATGTAATGAATTCTCTACTTCTCGAATGGTACAAACTGTATACTACCATCTTTGTGAAAAATGAAAAAACTAATTTATATCCCACTTTTCTGTGGTTCAAGGAGTGTATTTGAAGCAGATATTAATGTCCATTGTTTGGTGGTTTCCCCTCTTGTTGAATGTGCTGATAGTGTGTAGAACCATCTTTCCCCTTACAGGTAATTTCTAATTAAACCCCAGTAAGATTTTACCTGTATTTATTATAATATATAGAATATATGTTTATTCATGAAAAACATTTGCAGAAAACTGGCTTAAGTTGTCCCAATTTATAATAAACTTTAATAGCCAGCAGTAATATTTGAAACCAGTTAGGCCTTTCATTTTGTTTTTGGTGTGTAAGGCTTTCTGGTACTCACTTAGAGATGAAAGTGTGTTAATCGCTCCCATAAATTTTTACTGTTTAGTCTTAAAAAAATTAAGAGCTACTGTTTATAAAGCTATAATTTAGAAACTAAAATAAAGACAATTTCTTGAATCTTAGAATGGCTAGGAGGGAAAAATGGTGATTACAGCTTTAAAATCAGACCTGTTTGTGAAAGGACTAGGTGTTTTAAGGGTCCAAATATTAGTTGTCTGTATAAATGATGTTGTACTGCCTATTTTGATACATACATATGTGTATATTTAGAATACATTTTTACATAATCCATGAGAACTAGTTTGTCATGATTCTCCTGAGTAATGGAAAGACTGGTATCTTATTGGAGTTTCAAAGGGATGAAAGGGGGGGGAATTAATCTTAAGAATATAATGTGGGTTTATCTTCAGTTTGGTGGTTGGAGTGGGAAGGGGCAGCAGTTAGAAAAGCTTAAAGAATGTCAACTTTCTCAAAAAAGACCTAAGATGGTAGTATCAGGAATCTCCATGTAATTATGATTAAACCTTTTTTTAACATACATAAAGATAATTTTTGTTTTGAAAAAAATCTGAGGAAAGTAGTTCTATTGGTCCTCTTTTGATTCATGCAGTGTTCTACCTACTAGTTTTATCATCATCATCATCTAGTATTATTAAATGTCCCAACTGAATTTTGTAGATTATCACATAAAAAGTAGGTCTAAAGTCATTACATTCTGTAAAGTGTTTATATTGATACTTAAGCTGTATCTGGCATAAGTCAGTTAAAGTACCTGGAAATAAATATTTCCAGAGTGAATAAATTGGGTCTATATATTTCATTAGTATAAGGTTAATTATACTTGAAGGTGTCAGCTGTCCACATTTATCTAGCTAAAGAATGGTTTGTGGGCAGAGTTTGGAGTTTTGGATATCTTTGGAATAGTTGAGACTCGTTTTAGTAATAGCAATGTGCAAGAAGGTGGAGTTCTTTATACATGGCAAGGAATGGTTAGGTTAATATTGGGTAAGGTTAAAAATATAAAAGAAAAAAATGTAACGAGAAGGTTGTAATATTTGCTTCAGGACTAGAGCAGAGAGGGTCACTTGTAATTAATAATGTCCATGATTTTATAGTAGTCTGTGAAGAGGACTCCCACCCCCTCCTGCAGTAGACTGGGAAGAGGGAGATAAATTTTTAAAAGAATGCACATTCAGGAGCTCTCCTCTCTAAAATAGTAAGATACTTGCTATGACAGAGCCCTTTTGGTTGATAACTCTCGTCACAGTGGTTCAAAATAAAGAGTAGAAAGTTTAATCAAGGAGTGTTTTGTTTTTATCTTCTTTTCACCTGAATGCTTTTTTTTTCCTTCCAGTTTTTCGGCTTTGTAAAGAACCGTATCATCAAAGACCATGGCCAGCAATGTTACCAACAAGACAGATCCTCGCTCCATGAACTCCCGTGTATTCATCGGGAATCTCAATACTCTTGTGGTCAAGAAATCTGATGTGGAGGCAATCTTCTCAAAATATGGCAAAATTGTGGGTTGCTCTGTTCATAAGGGCTTTGCCTTCGTTCAGTATGTTAACGAGAGAAATGCTCGGGCTGCTGTGGCAGGAGAGGATGGAAGAATGATTGCTGGCCAGGTTTTAGGTAAGATCTGGGTTGAATTAATTTTTTCATTGATTGTATAATTCGCATACAATACAGGCCATTTGTTTTTTAATGTTTATTAGTTTTGAGAGAGACAAGCGGCCCATGTGCATGTGGGGGACTAGTATAGAGACAGAAAGAATTCCAAGTAGGCTATGTGCAGTTGATGCAGAGCCTGACACAAGCCTCAGTCTCACAAACCGTGAGGTCCTGACCTGAGCTGTAGCAAGAGTTGGGCTCAACCAACTGAGGCACCCAGGCACCTCCACATCCAGTTTTTTCTATTCAAGCTTCTATTTTGATCTCCCCTTTTCATTAAGGTACCAGTCAGAAAATGTTAGGCTTGTAGGTATAATTGGCGAAATAAGGATTTTATTCCATTTTCTGTAGCAGAGATTGGATAACCTTCAGTTGGGGTCTTGAGTAAGGCCAAGAGGGTAGGAATGACATTACAAAAGGTACAGTTGTTGCCTAAATGGCTGTGTCCTACTACTCACAGATGATTAGGTGAAGACAATATAGCTTAGTCACTCTTGAGCTGTGGAGTCAGATTGCTGGGCTCTGCATTAGGGCTCCAGAAGTATGTGTGTTGGGCAGTCTGCGTAGCTTGTCTGAGCCTTTACATTTTCTCAGTTGGTAAAACAGTACCTCAGAATTTATCATCTATTCTTAACTGAGGTAATTGTACTTTGGCGTTACCAGGAATTTGGGTTAGTTGAGATAATTCATGAGAAGCTTCAAGTGTAGTCTAGCATGTTATACTCCTTAAAACGCACTTATTAAATACATTTCAACATTAGCAGCTCAAAGTGGTTTTGTCTTAGGTGTTAGTTTTCCCAAGAAGGGACTGCTCTGATCTAACATGTTCAAGTATTTGAGAATGAGATTTAAGCTGTACTCAGATAATAGTTATATTCTAAACTTCAGAAGATCTCATTACATATTAAGACGTATTACCATGTAAGTCTTGTAAAATTACATCTCCTTGAATAATTTTCTAACAACTTAACCATTTGCTAAGATTTGCTGTCAGAATCATAGTAATTTTATATAGCTTATATTTTCTTTGGTGTGAATATTAGGGAATCTGAAGGATTTGTAAGAGAAGTCCATTCTTTTTGTTTTTTAAGAATAAAAGAATAAGTACATATGTCTTGAATGCCACAATTGAGTTCCACAATTGAATTAACTGCCTTCCTCTCTTCCCGTAGGAGGGAATTTTTCCCTCAAGTGTTTCCATGTTGGTGTTTTTCCCTGTAATACTATATAAAACTTCAGCATTTCATAATGATTGTAGCATTTAATAAATACTTCGCATATCTTGATTTATTTTAAAGTTTCAACAATCTTGTAGACTTTTGGATTGTTTATGGTTTTGCAGTGGCTATTTCATGAAAGTTCTTTTCATTCTAGAATAAAAGTTTAGTGTAATTGTATTTCATTTATAAACACTTTTCAGATGGCTATTTTAAAAATCCCAACCACAATGGATTGGGAAGGAAAAATATTGTAAGTTAGAGAACCTTTTAATCCTTGACATTGAAGATAAAAGGAACATTTGTAATTGAGAATACATAAATTTTCATAACCACTTGTCCTATATTCTAAGTAGAGGAAAACTCATCTGTAAAACTTTTTTTTTTTTTTTAATGTTTTATTTTATTTCTAGGAGTGAGAGAGAGAGAGAGAGCGCGTGAGCAGGGGAGGGTCAGAGAGAGAGGGAGTCACAGACTCTGAAACAGGCTCCAGGCTCCGAGCTGGCAGTCAGCACAGAGCCCGACGCGGGGCTCGAACCCAAGAACCGCGAGATCATGACCTAAGCGAAAGTCGGACGCTTAACCAATTAAGCCACCCAGGCGCCCCTGTAAAACTTTATCTTTAAAAATGGCTGTGGCAAAAATGAACTAAAATAGTTCATCTTAAATAAAGTCAGGTTTTTTATGATACTTATTTTTTAACTATGATGGAAATTCACTAGTACAAAAATAGAAGAATTTAATGAACATGTGTGTATATATGTCACACCTGTCTTAACAGATACCAACTTTTACTAACCTTGATTTGATCTATTGTTTGTTTGGTTTTTTTCTCTCAAGTTTTGTTAGAGTCAAGTCTTTTTAAGACTCCAACATACCCAGCAGACAGGGACTTGTACCAAAATGCAAAACCACACTGACCTTATCACATCCTTAAAAAAAAAAAAAAAACCTCCCAGAAATTCCTTAATGCCATCAATAATCAATGGATGTTTAGATTTCCTCCTTTATAGTCTCAAGCTTCTTTTTATTATTCTTTTTAATGTTTATTTTGAGAGAGAAAAACAGTATGAGTGGGGGAAGGGGCAGAGAGTGAGGGAGACACACAATTCAAAGTAGGCCCCAGACTCAGAGCTGTCATGTCAGCACAGAGGCCCACTCGAACCCAAGAACCATGAGATAAGTGTCCTTGAACTGGCCGCAGTCGGATGCTTAACTAACTGAGGACCCTGGTCCCAAACTGATTGGTTTTTTTGTTCTTTTTGTGTGAGTTTTTAATTTTTTTTTTTTTGGGAAGAGAGCAAAGGGGAAGGGCCAAGAGAGGTGGGAACAGAAGATATGAAGCGAGCAGGCTGCCTGCTGAAAGCAAAGAGCCTAATGTGGGCCGAACCCAAGAACTGTGGGCTCATTAACTGAGCAGAGATAAAGAATCAGATGCTCAACCAACTGAGCTACTCGGGTGCCCCTCAGACTTTTTTAAAACTTGATTAAATCCAAGATCCAGTCCATGTCTATATATGTATTTGATTAATTGCCCTTTAGATGTTTTTATATGAGTTTTCCTTTCCCTCTAATTTTAAAAAATGAGATTTAATTTGTTAAAAGAAGTGAGTTCCACACTGTGTACTGATTGATCCTTTGTGGTGTCTATTAATTTGTTCTTTTCTGCCTCTATTTTGTGTAATACTGCTAGATGTAGAGCAGTGCCGTCCAATAGAAGTATAAGAGGATGTATACTTAGAATACATCTGAATTTTGACTAGCAGCTTATTGCCTTGGACTGTGCAGACCTTGAGGCTTGATACAATTCAGATACTATTTTGGTGAAAATATTACATGGACAATGCTCTGTATTGTATATTATATCACACCAGGTGACCTAATGTGGTCCCATTTTTAGTGATGTTAAGGATAATTTTTGGTTCTGATCTTACATCCTGACACAATCTGTGATAAGGTTTCCCATCACCTTTAAAGCTTAATGGTGATTATCCATTGATGATCATTTCCAAAGTATTTCATTAGGGTTTGCAAAATAGTTTTCTAATTCCTTCTGCATAACTCATTTTTGTGACATGAACAACTGATTAACATTTTTTTTCTGAAATAGTATTTATGTTGGAACGACAGGATAAATTTTTTTGAAATTGATGTTTAGCAGCGATTAAATATAATCATTGCTTTTGCTCAATAATATAAATTCATATTTTAGCTTTTTAAAATTATTATTTTTTTTAATGTTTAGTTTTTGAGAGGGTGAATGTGGGAGGGAGGGACAGAGAGAGAAGGAAACAGAATCTGAAGCAGGATCTAGGCTCCAGGCTGTCAGCGTGGAACCCGACACAAGACTTAAACTCACAAACCATGAGATCATGACCTCTGCCAAAGTTGTACACTTTACCCACTGAGCTATTCAGGCACCTCTAGCCTTTTTTATAAAAAGAAAGCTCTAGGGGTGCCTGGATGACTCTGAAAGATCTGACTCATTGATTTCTGCTCAGGTCATGATCTCATGGTTTGTGAATTTGAGCCCTGTATTGGGCTCTGTTGACAGTGTGGAGCCTGCTTAGGATTCTTTTTCACTTCTCTCTCAAAATGAATAAATACACTTAAAATAGTAAGCTCTGTAAGTTGTACACGAAACCTTGGTTGAAGAACTCTCAACCCCAAGGTCAAAAGTTGCATACTCTACCACCTGAGCTAGCCAGGCATCCCCATAAACTTATATTTTAAATTGATATATTTTTGTGCATTGCAAATCATTCTTTAGAGCTCAAAATATTTATTCTATGGCCAGTGGATCACCAAGTTGGTTCCTATGTCCCTGATATTTTACTCTTGTAATATTTCATTACCTCCTTACTTCTGACATCACAAGATATTTCAGGTCATCTGATATATTTCTTGACCTAAATTTCAAATTGCCACTTTTTTCCTAAGAGCTTTGGCTCCTTTTAGTGGCACTTACATAGAATCCATGATCTCTGTACACTGAAGAGTGCTTATTGTTGAATTTTAAAAGCTTCTATCTAGTTTCATGGGCAGAATAGGAGCACTTTTGTTTTTAGATTTTGTTTAAATCTTTTTTTTTTTTTTTTTTATTTTATTTTTGAGAGAGAGAGAGAGAGAGAGAGGCAGCATGACCAGGGGAGGGTCAAAGAGGGAGACACAGAATCCGAAGCAAGCTCCAGGCTCTAAGCTAGCTGTCAGCACAGAGCCTGACACGGGGCTTGAACCCATGAATCGTGAGATTATGACCTGACCTGAAGTTGGACACTTAACTGACTGAGCCACCCAGGCGCCCTGCACTTTTGTTTTTAAGAAACGAAACATAACTTTTCTGCGTTGTGCCAGAATTTTAAAATAACTATACCTGTTTTGGGTTTTTTGGTTTTTTTGTGGGGCTTTTTTGCCAAAATCAGAATTATTAAATGCAGTTTTAGCTTTTAGTTTCTTTTTATTAATATATATTCTATTCTGGATATCTACTCAGCACTATATAATTTAAAGTATCACTTGAAATAATTCTATAAGACTATATGATCAGTATAATATATAGTTTATTCTGTTTTTGTTTTAGAAAAATTTTAAAAACCACGTTCTCAACATCAAATGTTAAATTAAAACGAGTTTAGTGAATTAAGAACTCTTTTGAGATTATTCATAAATGTACTGGTGCTCAGCAGATAGTGTACTAAAACTCTGTTTTTCAGTTGGTCATTTGATGAACTGAGTTTTGGAGAGCTGGTTTTTGACAAATGTATTCTTGTTAGAATAAAAAAGTGATCATTATTCTCTTGTTTGGTAGGTATTGGGTGTCAGGTAAATAGCTGGCCATGTTGGAATATGTGTTTTAAAAATTATGAGGTATATGGAAACTAGGACTTTTCCTTTATTCCCTCATTTCCCTTCTTTGTGTTCATGTTAACGATTGCTCAGAAGTTTTAAGTCTGCATGGTACTTTTCTAGTGTGTGTTTTTGGTTTTGTTTTTTATGTTAATTCTGAGAGAGAGGGAGAGACAGTGCAACCTGGGAAGGGACAGGGAGAGAATCCCAAGCAGGCTCCATGCCCAGTGCAGAGCTGAAATCAAGAGTTGGACATTTAATCTGAATTAGCAACCCCCGGTTCCCCTGCATAGTATTTCTTAACCAGTTTTTATTCATCTTTACAGCTGATCCTATTTGCAAGGGGATTGAACATTGAGGGTACCACAATCCATATTAATGACTGCTGTATATTTTATATCTCTGAAGTCACTCACTCATTCCTATATATACTCTGAATAGTGAGTTTATTTTAGTGGCAGCTGAGGGTAGAAGGTACCAAAGACAAACCTGATGTTTTATGTGTGATTAATACTCTTTGTTACAGAACAGAGAACAAAGGACAAAGTCTTAGCCTTACAAAAATTCATGAGCCCTTTTTACATAAGGAAAGATGAGATACAGTGCTAGTCCTTCATTGATTTATATACTATGTACACATTTTAAAACTGTAGTTTAAGATCTACCTTACCCACCCAAAGCTGTCATTAAAGTTTCTGTCTTTGTTTTTGCTTTTTCAGATATTAATCTGGCCGCAGAGCCAAAAGTGAACCGAGGAAAGGCAGGTGTGAAACGATCTGCAGCGGAGATGTACGGGTCAGTACCAGAACACCCTTCTCCGTCCCCTCTACTCAGGTCCGGAACTTTATTATTTATAACTGCATTGTGTCCATCAATGGGCATCTTCTCTATCTGTTTTCTGGATGTGGGGAGGGTTAACTGTAATATGTTTTATTTGTGTAAAAGTGATACTTTATTAATCTTGTATTAGTATACCTCCTTTTCGCCCATTTCCCAGAGAATTATTAGAATTCCCTGAGATTTTTACTTACTAAAGAGCATCTTGATATTTTTAACATAAAATGAAAACCTTCAAGAAGAATTGTTTAGTTTTAAGAAGCTGGGAAATAAGAAAGGGAAGGAGGGTAGTATAAGAATGTTTGGTTTATTGTTGTATTTTTCAGTGCTCTTGTATTAGCTATTATGTTATATGTTGAAATTGTAGCATATTTATTCCAAAATTTGCAAATTGGCTGCTGCATGTCCAGTGGCCTCTAAAATGACTGGATCTTTAATGATTGTTTGAATGATTGGATATTATTCCATGCTAATCTTTTGATCTATTTGTTATGATTGGTTTTGCATGATTTTTTTTTTGTTTTTCCCATCTGTTGTGAATTTACATCAGCAGCTCCAAATTAATCCTTTTCGGTATTTATTTTTCAGCTCCTCTTTTGACTTGGACTATGACTTTCAACGAGATTATTATGACAGGTATGTTAAAGGTCTTTTGTCTATTCTGGTAAAAAGCCATTTAAGAATCATTTTATTTTTCAATTTTATAATTAACAATCCTTTTTCTTATAATGAACAACAAACAGATTGTCAGCGTGTCCCCCCTTTTATAAACAAAATGAAAAATACCTTCTTACAAATCGTCAGAGGTAGAAAAGGGTGGTATTTTTGTTAGTTTCAAAGAAATCAGTTTATGTATATATTGTCTGGGCATATTGGGACATATCCAGTGTTTTGTTTGAATTTGTATGCCAGAGAAGGATTCATTTCACTGCTAAATGATGAAATAGAACTTAATTAGCATTTCCATGTTCTCTTCATTATTTCCTATCACATACTTGCCATTTGGCTTTGCTTTATAGGGGATTACAGCAACACTATTTTTTTTTTTTAAAAAAAGATTCCTAAGTCTCCCTTGAGTAAACCAAGTAATACAAAATACGATACAGTGAGCCTAGATAAATGAATTCACAATACGCACTCCGGATGCCTGTGTTGCCTCAATCCGTTAAGCATTTGACTCTCAATCTCTGCTCAGATCATGATCTCCTGGTTCATGGGATCAAGCCCCATGGGATGCTATATGCTGACCAGTTAAACTGGGGGATGGGAGGGGATAGTGGAGGGGAGATGGTTTTTTATTTTTTGGTTTGTTTTTGTTTTTTTTTTTAATAACATTTTAAAATTTTGCTTTAGGAGGTAAAAGATGTTGAAGACTTCTAGGTTGGGGATAGTGGTAACACCTTTCTTCTAAAAGACAGGGAGGTTGGAATAATGGTTGGGGGGGATTGTGTGTGTATGTACACACGCGCACCTTCAGAAAAGCACTAGTATTTGTTGGTGCATCCTGAGAAATAAATAGGAAAATTTGTGGATAGGCGTAGGTTATGGAATGTTATGAATGATGGATTTAGATCTGATGATACAGGAATTAGTTTGTGGGGAATGACATAATACATAAAAGATACTAGTATCTTATTAGCATTCTGATAACATTAGTTTTATGAATGTTAAAAAAATAATTAGGTTTATTTGGTTTCCTGCTTTCTAAATTATGCATCATTTGGAAGTATATGGTATATGCTCATAGATTGGACTAGATCTAGTATAAATTTCTCATGGGTCTTTTTCATCATAGGATTTCAGTATTCTAATGACTAGTATGATATTAATATATAAGAATATCAATTAAATCATTTGTGGCTTTGCGAATAAAAGTAATTAACTTTCTTCATTTGGGAATGTTTCACAGACAAACTTTTGAACCGAGTTGAGTCATATCAAGGGAATTGGGCAAAGGAATCAAGTCAGTCAGCACTTTGAACTGACTCAAAAAAAGACTTGAACATGTACATTTTTTGTGTTTGAGAAATATATGGGCTGTGGTAAGCTAGTCATAAATAGGCTAGAAAGAGTAAGAATGGAAAAATAGGTCAGACCTATATTGTTAAGGTGTTTGAATGCCATTTAGGATTGTGTGATTTGAGTATTCTTCATGCATAATCAGTATGGCTAATTCGTATGTTCTCAGATTTCTTCAGGTTTTTATGTCTATTTATGTTTGAACACATGGTTTGAAAGCTGATGATTTTCATATTTTAAAGGTATTATAATATAAAAAATGGCAGTTGAGAGATCTGAGCATCTCTTTTCTCCTGAAAATGTGATCATTTGTTGGGTGACTTGATGGCACAGAGGCCTTGTTGAGTTTATCTGAAGCAGTTGCCCTTTACTCTGGGGAAGAAAGAAAGAAGAAAAAAAAAAACGACAAACTCATGCCCAACTATACCTGTAGGGATTCTTCTACATACGGTCTAGATAGATTCTTGAATGTTGGTGTATTTTTTTTTAATGCTTCTCAAGAGACACTGATGTCGGTGATGTTGAGAATCATTGATAAGAAAGCATGAGGAAGTAGTTTCATTTCTGTGATTCTTAACCGTATTTCTTTGTCCATGGACTCTTTAGAAAAATTCTAATATATTTATTTATTCGTACATTTATTAACATATATAGACATGTGTTTATTATGTACAAATATGCATATATATAATACAAAAAATTTCTTGGACTCTGGCACAAGAAACTCCTGTTTTAAATTTAGTATGTAGAGAATTTTAAAATGTACAATCCTAACTTCTTCGTGAGAATAGTCCTCTAATGTTTTATTTACTATTAGTTGTCTTGGTGAGGCAGGAAAACATTGACCATTTCTATCATGCCACTGTAAGTAAGCTTGGTAAAGAGTTTTTTGACTGAGGAATTTTAAATAAGTTCATTGAAAAAAAGACATAAATAGCAAGGAGTAGTACAGAAAGTTAGATGTTTGTAGAAATAACCTTCAAATTTCTTGCCACTGCTCTTTGAGCCTAAAAATTAGTGGCCGTGCCACTATTGGCCTCATTCTTCAGTTTTTAAGAGGCAAAAGAATACCTTTAATTACTCTGGTGTATTGCTTGGTATTAATCGAGTGTCAGTGAAAAGTAATAGCTTCTGTGCTAATCTCAGCCAATGGAAAAAGACTTGTGATGACTGACGATATAGTAGCCAGGGAGTAGCTGGTAAAGAGCTGATTTAAGTACAGTACTGAGGTCTATAATGAGAAGACATGTTTAGTCAAGTGTAAGAAAACTAGTCAGGAAAATTGCGTTAGAATATCGCACTGGGTGGCTCAGTTGGGCATCTGACTTGGGCTCAGGTTATGATCTTATAGTCCGTAGGTTTGAGGTCCACGTTGGCTCTGTGCTGGCAACTGGAGACTGCTTTGGATTCTGTGTGTGTCTCTCTCTGCCCTCCCCTTGTACTCTGTCACTCTCTCACTCAAAGATAAATGTTAAAAAAAATTTTTTTAGAGAAAATTACACTAAGAAGTCATTCTGAAGATATTCACAAGGTTAAGTCTTGTATTAATTGTCATAGCAACATAGTGGTCCTACATCAACTATATTAGATTCTTTATTAAAGCAGGATAGGATTGATATTGGCTCTGAGATGAGATAAAACCTCTAGATCTTCCTGTGTAAAGGGGTTAAAACAGTGTTTATTTAATCCTTTAAAGCTTTAATCCTAGCTTCCTGGGATCTGGAGTTCTAATTTTTTATGGTAGAGAGTCAGCTGATAGCCTATGAAAGAACAATTGAATCCAAAGAATTGACATTCAGCTAAGAAGTTTTTGACTAAAGTCCTATGTAATCTCAACTTTCTTATCCCTAATATGGAAAAAATAATGCTTACTAATAGAGTTGCTATAGAAACATGAAAGACAAGAAATTGCATTATAATTACATTATAAATTATAAACTCAGAAATATCATAACTATTTACAACCAGTCAGTGAAGAATTCCCAATCTTTAGCACATGAGGATTCATTCCTGTTTATTACCATGATCTTCACATTTCTTATATGCAAAATTGCTGCAAGTTACACTTCTGGATTATCAGAATGAAGGGAATTATGGATGACCCCTCCAGTCCTCCTCCCAAAAAACTTGACATCTCTAGCATACTCCAGTTCTCTTTAGGTGTGATAACAGTCTTCCTAGTTTTAATGCATACTGAAATGCTTAGTATTTGTTTTCTAGATCTCTTTTTAATGGTTATTTCAATTTTTTTGTGTGTGTTGTCCTGGAGCATTTCCAATCAAATATATATAAAAGACAATGGTGTATCAGTAAAAGATTGCTTTTATAAACATCACAATTCCATTTATACTTACAATATTTCTAATCTCATCAGTTTTTCAGACTTCATTTTGTCGTTATATTTGGTGTTAGCATGTTTCAATGTATTTCCTGTGAATTGGTGGATACATTTGTAGGCTTGATCAGATTTCAGCTTCTATTTTTTTGTTTTTGTTTTTTTCTCCTTTGGGGATGACAGCATGATGGTGTTGGTGGGGAAGGAGCCTAGAGCACTTCATAAATGCATTATGCATTTTAATCATTAACCTGATTTGGCAGGAATTTTAAGAATACAGGAGGCATTGAGTGTTTTATAAGAAACACTTTAGATATCAGGAAATAGGTAATTAACACTGTTTTATTAGAGTGACTTGGTTTGTTTAAAGAGCCCTCCCCTAACCGTGTTGTATTTTTGCCTGGGAAGACCCAAGGATTGTAAATACTTTATCTTAAAACTGTAGGGCAATCAAACTTTAAAACTTAAACCAAGTCACTTATATTTTTAGTATTTTGTCTGCTGAGGGAGACAACAGGATCAAATTCTGTAGCCTTAATACTGCCCCCTGCAGTGTTGTAATATTACTGATTTAATTTGGGGTGCGGGTATAAAAATGAAAAACTGTTAATCTGTCATCATTAAAGCTTACTATAGTGTGAAAGAATTCTTAGTACATGTTTTTCCTGTTGGCTTAACGGGAATACTCAAAGTTAACTAAATGTTAATATTGTAGCATTTTTCCAGTGATCAGATTATGCATCTGTTTTTTGCGAGAGCAAGAGCACAAGTGGGGGAAATCAAGAGTTAGGCACTTTACTGAAAGAACCACTCAGACACCCCCACATTTTTCACCATTAAGATAAGATGATTCTTACTAGCTTTTTTCCATAGGTTACCTTTTTCATTAGGTATTAGGTCTGAATTTGGTCTGTCTGTTCTGAAGACCATTCCTAATTTTATAGGCATTGGACGGTTTGGTGATGAATTTTCAGTATAAATTGCTGGTAATGTGGAACTACCATTTTAGATAGATTTATTAATATCTGACAGACACTGTCAACTCTGTTTCATGTATATTGTAAACTCTATCATACATAGTTTAGAATTACCTAGAAATTCATTAAACAACACATTTTTTTCTGGTAGGATACTTAAAAGTAGGTTTTTGCTTTAGGATGCCTGTTCATGGGCTTCTATGTATAAAACAAGGGGAGTTGCATAAGGCTTGCCTGTGTGTAGAACATACTATTTGTTGATTTTGAAATCCTGAAAACCTGGGGGTGCTTGGGTGGCTCAGTCA